ATGAAAACACATATCCACACCTCTCTGATTAATCTCATTGAACATAATGTAGTTTTGCATCAGATTTCACACCTTTCTGAAACCATCTTTTCGTATGTCAAAACTTTCCCCATTAAAATCTACATGATAATGAAGAAAGCTCATTTGAGCAGCTTTTTATCTTATCTATTGACAGCATGGCACAAGCAAGATTATGAATGCAATTAGCACACTTTAATTACTGGCTGGGTAGGTAATGCATTGATAACTGTCCTGCTTGCTGTTTTATGGAAGATCTGCCTCATTGTTCATTTGTTTATAATTATTATGCTTCAACAATGAATGAATGTCCCTCTTGAAAATAGTTTTTTATTTGATTCTAGGCAGCAAAATATAGTAGAGCTTCCAATCCTGTCAGCACGCCAGGTATGATCAGAAAGCTTTATTAGGAAGCTTTCTGCTAAAGGGTTACTTTAAAAAAAAAGAAGTACTCAATTTTCCTAGGTATTTGACTTTTTATATTGTGTTGTTTTGACAGTGTTTCATTATTCATTCAATATGGCACTTAGAAACCTCCTTCCCAATATTTAATAAATCCATCTATTTCTGATTACTTCTGTGTTTCTGTTTAAAACCAGCTGGATTAAACCTTCAAATAAAATATTTAGTGAATGAATATGAAGTTTGAATGTTCAAACAACCACCGAGTGCCTTGATTCCACTAACTAAAGGGGGAGCTCAAATATAAATACTTAAGAGATGCAAGAGACTGATACTCTGATAAGAATTGGGGAAGAAATGAGAGGGTGTGTGGGAGTGCAGGAGAGCATGATGAAGCTCTGAGAGATTGAGTAAGAGGTGCAGGGTGTGGCAGGTGTGTGAGGATGCATTACAGGTGGTGTATGCATGAAAAGCAGCAGTGTGGATCATGGAGGGTGCATGAGGATATGCAAATGGATGACATGCAAGGACAGACAGGCTGGGGAAGGATGAACAGCTGGGGCAGACTTACCCTAGTGACTTGTGACCTTTCCTGCCGGCTTCTCCATTGATTTTCTGGGAAAGACAGTAGGGAAGTTTGCAAACGGTGATCATGTGATTGCATGGCACTGCAACCATTTATGTGAACCAATTGCCAAGCACCAGATTGTGATCACATGACCATGTGGGTGCTAGGAGAGCTGGCCTGTAACCACCATAAGTTCAGCACTGTGATAACTTTGAACAGTTGCTAAACAAATGGTGATTGGTTGAAGAATATTTGCATAAATATTTGTATAGGCAACAGAATATCAGAACAGCTTTGTATTTATTTGTGTATTGCTCATATGTAACAGCCTGCTGATGACAGAACTTGCAAGTAAAGGGGACAATCAAATTCAGTTTATTAGCAATCAAGGATAGGCAAATTTGTATCTATCAGTAGATTTAGATTATATTTTTCATGTATCTTTCTCAAACTTGCTAGAGATGATGGAAACTAAAGTTCAAAACTTCTGTAGGACACCAGATTGTTGTTATTTGGCAGCACTGATAGTAGACATTGTAGCTGTTCTCATCCCTCTATTGCTCTATTCAGCAGGAATTACACAAAACCTAGCCATGATATCTAATAGAATTAAATATTTTTTTGAAGATGCTCTTATATCTTCTTGAAATCTAGAATATATATTTTGCCATTAAAGTAGTAAAATTCAATTGTACAAATAGATTAAAAGAGTTTATGAAAACATATATGAAAATGTTATAAGATGGTGTAAAAAGAATAAGCTATCATATAAACAAAACAATAACAAAATAAAAGCAAAGAAAAAGCTTAAAATAGCACCACCACATCATTAAAACACCTAGGAAAATACAAATGTCTGCCTAGTGCCAAAAAGATAAATAAATGTTACCATAGAACATAGAATAATAGAGTTGGAAGGGACCTTGGAGGTCTGCTAATCAAACCCGCTGGTCAAGCAAGAGACCTTATATCAGGGATGTCAAACTCAAGGTGCTTAGATCTGGCCCGCAGGGCTGGCCAGGAAACAGCAAAGGACCGACCTGCGGTGCCTCTGCCAGCAAAAGCAGAATGCTGTTTTCACTGGCAGAGGGCTATCAAAACAAATTAAAAACAAAACAAAAGGAGAAATGTTTCCCCTTTTGCATTTGAGCATGCAAGAAGGGACAGGAAGGGAGAAAGGGAAAGAGAAAGGGAAAGGGAGAAAGGGAAAGAGGAAAGACAAAGAAAAAGATGGGAGGATGGGAAGAGAGTAAGGAAGGAAAAATAAGGAAAGAGGGGAAGGAAGAAGAAAGGATAATGAAGAGGGAAGGAAAAAGAAGAAGAGGAAGAAAGGAAGGATTATAACAAGAGCGAGTAAAGATCTCAGGGAAGTTCTGCCTTAGCATTTGGCCACCACAGGTGCCTCTGACAAGAGTCCTGTGTCACATACCCACCATGGCCATGACCCCTCCCCATGCTCACCCCCCTACGCCCCTGGCCCTCTGAAGTCAAACACAACCCTGATGTGGCCCTCAATGAAATCAAGTTTGATACCCCTGTCAAGTTTGACATTCCAATCCATTTCAGACAAATGGCTGTCCAGTCTCTTTTTGAAAGTCTCCAGTGTTGGAGCATTCACAACTTCCAGAGGCAAGCTATTCCATTGGTTGTATGCTGTCTCTGTTAAGAAATTTTTCCTTAGTTCTAGTTTACTTCTCTCCTTGGTTAGTTTCCAACCATTGTTTCTTATCTTGCTTTTCGGTGCTTTCGAAAATAGTTTGAACCTCTCACCTTCATATGAGCCCCTCAATATTGGTGCTACCATGTCACCCCTAGTCCTTCTTTTCATTAGACTAGATATACTGAATTCCTGTAACAGTTCTTCATCATTTAGCCTCCAGTCCCCTAATCATTTTTGTCACCATGGGGGTGGTGTTCAAATCAGGGTTATAACTGAAGAGCTTTGTCCCAAATAGTGAGGAAAATGTGAGAAAGAGAGTAATACTGCCTTCATCACTCTTAGTATAAGCTGATTTGGAGAATAGCTTTGGATGGCTTTCAAGATTCTGTTACCTTAGCATTATTCATTCATTTCAGAAGTCAAAGTGACATTTAACTCCTGAGTTTGCCAGTCTTAAAAGGATTTGAAAACATGGAAAGAGTCATTACTTCAAAACAGTGGTCCCATGCTGTGAAGGGCTGAAGTTTTAAATGGACAGTAATTGGGAACTGTTGAAGAGCCAAAAGAGCTGGTTATGTTTATGCCAGTCAGTTGTAGAGTCAGGATTCTTACTGCAATGTTTCAATTGGTGTTTTGGAGCATACTCAGGGTCATATAAAATATATAGCAGCAATTTAAAAATTATCATACAGAGCTTATTTCTGTCTAAGTCGCGCTGCAGCTGGCATGTCAGCCCTAACTGATGAAAGCTGTTTTTGTCACTGATGCTGTGTATGCTATAATTTCAGAAATTGATCCAGAAGCACCTCTAAGCTACAGACGTAATCCTTTAAAGTCTATCTTTTCTGCACTGAGCTTTAGTTTGCTAGACTTCCTAACCAGGTACTGATTTATTAATTATGCATCCTCATCTTCTCACCAAATGAGACAACCCATGAGTGCCAAGGGTGAACAAGCATGTGGTGATGTTATATCAGGCCTTAACATTGAAAATCATTTAGAGAAGTGATTAAACAATCATGGACACTTCTACTGCTGGAACTATAGAATAAAATTATAGATAAGTGTGATCAATTTTCTAGACATGAAGTGATGCAACAATCTACTTGGGGTTCTATATGACCTCTAGTTGGATCAGATCCAAAAAAGAACCAAGCTCTTTGGAGAAGCTTAGCTAAAGCTACTCAGAGGCTTGCTTTTTCAACTCCTCATCACCATAAAATAGTGATAATGAGTTTCTACTAGTGATTAGATTTGAGTGAGTTTATTCTCCTGCATTCTAATAATCCTCTACCTTACTTCATTGTCTTCAGGCAAGAGTCTCTGTCATGGGAGAAGAAATTCAGAAATTATTGCATCAACCGTCTTGGTCAACTCTGTATTCCACATGCAGCTAAATTTTCTAGAACCCATTGGAATCATTCAGCCTCTGGAAGCAGGTCATCCTAGTGTATCTCTTTTCCTAATTATTCCTACAGAGAAGAATAATTGCTGGAAAACTAATCTCAGCAGGACATGGTTTGATTGTAACAAGTGAAGAAATATCAAATACCTCACTTTCAGCCTATTATCTCCCTGCCTAATAAAGGAAAACTAAATCACAGTGGGTCCTGCCACATTAAAAAATTCTCATCTTGCATTCTGTCCTCTATAATATTCTTTATAGCAATATGACATGTGTCCTCCATAAAAACACAGTGGGCATATAGAAATACAGGGGTTTGAGAATGTATGGATTTTTCAGTCTATCTGTTTCAAACACATTTGCTCAAAACACTGTTTCATTGGGAACACTAGAGAATTCAGAGTCTGATCTAGACATTACAAAGCATCATGTAATTTGTTGAAGATCCCCAAACTTCCCTTAAAGCTTTGACATTGCAAACATTTTATATTAAATTAAAAACGAAAGGCAGGTACAAAAATAAACTAATTATCTATCCATCAAGAGTTAGACTGATACCAGTGAACATCAGGACTCTGCATTAACCAGTAACCATAACTATTAATATGTACACTCAGAGATTTGAAAATACACTGGAAGAGATTCATTCTTGGTATGAACCAGCAGAATTCTTAGAAACTGAGGGGCAAGAACTAAAAAAAGAATCAGAGGTTGAGATGGGGTATTTCAGTGATTTTAAATGTCAGCAGAGAATTCAACAGGGGAAATTTTACCTAAGTTAATTTTCTTCTTCAGTCACTGTGGCTGACTTCACGGTGTCCTTCCCAACCCAAATAAGGCCCGGAAAGAATGTGCTAAGAGTATTCTAAGAATACATTTCAGTTTGGTTGGATAAGATTACCGTCAAGTCTGTATTTCATGTTTTCTGCCATAGACCTCAAAGAACTGTAATCATATTAAAAGAAGCGGCTAGGGCTTTGACAGCTCCTTCCAGTTCCTTTGTGCTGCCTTTGCTTTTACCGGCTTGGCTTTCTAGTTTGGAGCTGGGTGCTTAAAACTGAATAAAATAGATCAAGTCCCTGAGTGGTGCCTAGGATGCCAAATAAGCTGAGCTACAGATCTGCTGAGAGCCATGGCTATTTTTATTAGAAGCTGATACTTTAGTGTAGCTGAGAACACTGCCTTGGAAGAGGGTTAGTTTCTAGCGAAGGTGGGGAAGGCAAAGCAGGGCTCCGTAGAGAAACTTGCTCAAAAGAAGAACCCAAAGAAATTTAAAAGTGCAGAGGACATCCCACCTTTTAATACACCATCTCCTGCAAGAGTCAACATTGGCCCTGTCAGATCCTCTGAGCTGCTAATACAACTTGATCTTTTTTCACAGTGCATTTCTTACCATCAGCATTATGACTGAGATTGCAGCAGAAGGTACTGTAACAATCTTGATGTTCTAATTGTCTGAAAAAAGATTTTTACTCAGTATTTTTAATAGACTCAGCCACTCAGCATGATCTATATATTTTTTTTAGGAAATCATGGCTTTGCTGAAGGGCATGCTTGAAGGGAAGAAGCTGCTCCTCTTTAGCAGCTGGAATTTGTACTAGTTAATAAAACCTGATCATCATTCACCTCTAAAAATAGCCTTGGTCATATAAAGCTTGGGAAGGCAGGCTTAGACAGAGAGGCTGCAGAAATAAAAAGGACAAAGAAATAATAATAAAGATAGGATGGTAAATTTTAAAGCTCATCCTGGTCACTATATTGTTGTTTGGCATTTATGCACTTTTTTGAATCCATTTTACATTTGCTGGCAAATCTTTCAGGCACTTTGTAAAGATATTTTATCTTGATTTTATTATTTTTATAAGTAACTCAAGGCAGTGAACATACTTAATACTTCTTGCTCTTCTTGTTTCCACAACAATGAGTTGGGCTAAGGGAGAGTAACTAGTCACCCTGCCAGCTTTCATGCCTAAGGCAGGACAATTCATACTTAATTTTATTTATTTTTTATCTGTGTGACAAATTTACAAACCTCCAATCTCCCTCACAGAGGGACTCTGAGCTGTTTACAAGTAAACTATGAAAACATAAAAACTGTATATAAAATATAGATAAAAAGCAAAGATACGTAAAATTCAGAATCAAAAGGTGGAAAAATGGGCCTTTAGGTACTATTCATCCCCAGTTGTATGCTTCTCTGTGACCCCAAAGCAAGATGGAGAACCAGGTGTTTAGATATTTCCAAAAGGCCAGGAAAGGAGGGGGGGGGGTTTCACTTCTGGTGTTTAATGTTCCAAAAAGTGGAGGTAATGGCAGAGAAGGCTACCTTCCTAGGCACCACCGGTTGGAATTTTTTAACTGACAGGATCTGCAACATACCATCCCTGCCTGACTGGATGGGACAAGCTGACGTAATGGGGTGAAGATGGTTCTGCAGATAATCTGGCCCCATGCCATGTAGGGCTAATTTTAATGGCCTGTTTCATACATTTTACATTCTGCTGATTTTTGCAGTATTCCACTTCACAAATTATATGAGCTCAAAACTGGCTTTCTACCAAAGGAATGCCCAACAGGAATACTGGTAGAAATCATCTGATTTCAAATGCTGTTTTCCAAGTTGTCACTTTATATTTTAGGTTGATGTATAGCTATATTTAGAAACACTATACGTATTAAATGTGTTTGGTTTAATGTGAGCTGCTATTTACTAAACAAATATTTCTATAGTGCATTTGTTTTCAGATCATGCCTTGTAAATGTGCAAATATTTCTTTTCCCAAAAAGAAGAAGTCAGGATTCTGAACTCCCCCACTGTATTTAATTATGGAAATGAAGTATGGGTTGTTACAGAGGAAGTAAAATGCAGGATTTGAACCTTGAGGAACAAATCACTTAAAGGCATGATGCAAATGTAAAGGCTACACAATATGCCTTATCAAATTAAATCTTTGAAATACATTCAGTGCTTTGTAAGACTAGATGCTACTAATCCTGAAAGTCTTCAGTAATTGTATAGTTTTGGAAGCTGTATATGAGGATTGCCTGAATGAAGGCTAGAGAGAATAAAATTTGAACCTATAAATAAAGAAATGGTTATCTGGAAAATATCAATAGTTCATGAATAATTTTAATATTTCCAGACTATTAATGTATACAAACATTTTATTCAGTACAATGATGAAGGGTTTTTTAAATGTAGGCTTTTAAATATGCTGTTCATTTTTACAATGGAATCTCACAGCAATTTTTTCCATTATGAATCTTTGCATTCTTCTTTCCTAGGCTTATAACCATCCTTTCTGTAACAAAAGCTCTCATTCAACAGACCAACACTGTGTCCCAAATCACTGCAGTTGTTAATGAAATATGAAAGCAAAATAAGTTTAATATGATAGAATTTGCATTGGATATTATTGGAGACTGAATCTGTTGCTTTCTATTTCTGGAATGCTTAATATTCATGTTGAGTGGTATGTTTGTGAAGAACAGGCACCAAGCCAATATAGCTGTCTTACTTTTGATCAGAGTTTGGGTAGATGTAATGAAGTATTTGAAGAAGAACATGTTGAAGCTGGACAAGACCAGGTTCATACAAAAGACCAAAATTATTTAAAAGGTAACAATCTACTTGCTGGCTCAAAAGGTTGAAACCAGTGACCAACACAAAACAAAACTTTAACAGGTTAAGGGGTAATATTAAATGGATGCTAAATTTTGGGCCAATATTGGCAGTGGGAAAAAATGTGGACTAAAATATTTAATTTACTTTACTCAACAATTTAAGAGGCTATCTTTATAAAATTAAATATTGATGCCATTTGACACATATGAAACAAAAAAAAAGTATAGAAACGTTTTAAGTAAAGTTTGGCAATATGGAAAAGTGGATGGAACCTATTATCATATGTAATGGAATTGTGAAGTGACCAATCCACAGGACATTGGTGAAAATAATGGGAATTTCTTTTTAGATTAAACCAAACCTTTACTTATTAGAGTCAATGGAAGAAGAACTGAGTAAAAAGCATGTGTGTTATTGTTGTACATTGTTACAGCAGCAAGATTATTATATCCCTAGAAATGGAAAAATAAAGAAGCTTCAAACAATGAAGATTATCAGTATTTAAATAGTGAAGACTATTTAAAGTTACAGACTTGTCAGAGATGGACAAAACTTACTTGTCTAATGAGAGAGAATCTACAGAGGGTTTTTATTAAAAACTGGGGTTATATTACAAAAGTAGAGAAAAATAGTTTGATGATAAAGGATTTTATATATTAAACAAGGGGAGATTATGGGAAATGTAAATAGTGATTAAAACAATATAAGAAATGGTTAATGGATGCCTGAGGAAAGTGAAGGGTTGATGTAGACTATGGATTTTTTTATTTACGTTAGATGGTTAATTTTGTTTTTGTATATATGTTTTATGTCCATTTTATGTGTAGAGTTTTAATAAAATTTATATAGAAAATTATTAAGATTTAAGAATAACTGAATAGTAGATGTAACTAAGAATTCTTTTTCCTGAGAAGAGTTCTGGTGAGCTTTTCTACTACATAATTTATCTGCATTATAAACATCTGCATTATTATTGTGCAGATACTTATATCTTGAGTCTTGCAATTATTAAATGTAAAGCTCAGTTGGAATGTTCTAGTAGAGGGGTAAAATATAAAAGATAGGAAATGTAAAAAAGAGAGAAAAGTTTCATTTGGATTTTAGCATCCCAGAAGATCATGGTAGCTTATAGCAATAGCAATAGCACTTAGACTTATATACCGCTTCACAGTTCTTTGCAGCCTTCTCTAAGCAGTTTACAGAGTAAGCATATTGTCCCCAACAATCTGGGTCCTCATTTACCCACTTTGGAAGGATAGAAGGATGAGTCAACCTTTGCCACCTTATATAATTTTCAAAGGAAAGAGAGATCTTTGACAGATGGTTGGACCAATTGTACAGGTTCTTTTTTAAAATTTTGTATAATATACAAAATATTTGTATAGTTATATATTTTGATAATATATAATTTTATTAAAATTTTAAAAATAAAGATTGAAAGTGAAAAAGAAATCAAAGTAAAAGCTAAACATGCAAGAAAGAGAAAATAAAAAATATATAAAGAGATTTCAAACCTTCTTTACAACAGTTATAAGCATAATTATCCAATCAAACCATTACCTAAAAGCATTGCATGACAATTATTTTAAAAGCATTAAAAACTATAAAAGTAAACTAATAAAACAGTAAAAGAAAATAATAGATGTAGGGAACTTAATAATAGTGGTGTCACTTATTATTTCACACATCCCTTTCGACAGGTAAATCCATTTAACTTGCTTTATACCAAGACCAATCTTTCTTAAATACTAGTATTAATTTATTAGTAATTGATGCTAGTATGTGGTAACAGTTTCCTTTTTCTTATAAATAACAATAAACGAATGAAGGCAAATATACTTGTTGCAGGATCCAATCTCAGTTGATCACCGGGAACAGAGGTTCAGTCTTCTGAGCTTTTGGGCTCATGTTGGAGCCCATCCACATTCTGATGAGAGAAAAGTTCCCTGAGGATGGGCTGTAGTTTGAGTCCAAAAACTTGGAAGAATAAACCAGTGACTGACCCAGATTGGATCCTGCAATAACAGTAGATTTAAAAAAAAAACATAACTGTACTGAGCAATAAATGAAATTATTTAGTCTACTTTTTCTTATGCTGAAAACAGCTTTATGTGAAAAGTAGCTCTATACCCATGCTTTGCCAGTACAAAATTATGTGATAGGGCTTAGTTTTGGGGGAGGAAAATAAGGGGGTAAAATTCTGCCTTTGCCTACCAGCTACCATCGGTATTCATCTGGCTAGCGTCCTGTCAGTGTGTGAGAGAGTTGAGGGCTGCTTGGAAACTGAAGTGGTATTTGCTATGTGAGCAAGAAGGAGACAGCAAGGAGCCTGGGCATGGCTAAGCTCAACTGTTCTGTATTAAAGCCGGTTGCTGCTGTGAAACTGAAACTAAAACTCCTCTCCTCTGCTTGTGTTTTGCATTTGGAACAGATTTCTTTTCAGGTGGACAGTGGGAATAGAACGCCTTAGCATCAGAGCGTGTTAATAATAATATACGAAATACTAATGCTCTGATAGTCATTTTGAAAAATCCTTTCTTCGTGAGTACCTAGAAACCAAGAGGAACATACGTGCCAAATTTCAGTAGGCTTTACAGTTCTGGAGATTTTGTGATGATGCATGAGTGGTATTTCACTTTTATATATATAGATAACCAAGTAAACAGATGAATATTTTTTTACCAAGGTTTAAAAAGTACATTTAATTAGCATACATTTATTTAAGATAACTTCCATAATTATTCATAGCAGTGATTCTTTGAGGTTGCTTTCTATATAAACTCTTATTAAGAATATGTTT